TCAATTGTATTTACATTTTCAGATAATTCTGTGCAAAATGCCCAGAAAATCATCACTTGTGTTCGTTTTCCTAGAAGAACCTAGAGGTAACAGTTGAATCAGGAGCTCATTAGAAGAGGTGCTACAAAGGTACATAAAATAAGTAACTATGTTATTTCTCCTGTGACTACACACTGAGTGAAACAAAGGGAAAAAACCCAGCTTAATTATTATCTTTCAGCATTGGAGGGTTGATTAAATATAAGGATGTGAGGTTAAAATCCTATACACAATTTACTCAAAATTACACATGAAATGTGTGTGAATTACTCAATATAGAAACCCAAGAGTTCCTATATATGGACTACATGCTATTGAAGGCTAGTAGAAACAGCAAAAATTATTTTATCTGAATTTTTGGAGGAGTATTTTCCTTTCACATAGATGTTTCCTTAAATAAAGGAAAAGAAGAGAAAGGTAAGACTGCTTTCATTTGCCCCTATACAGGCATCTGAATTTCATCTTCCCTTCACAGAGGAAAATGCACCTCCAGAGAACAATTGTGTAACATATTCTAGACAATAAAACATTAAAACAAGATCAACTGCCTTGTGTAGGTACTTTTTCTGTGCCAATTGACTAAAAGGAGTCTACAAAGACTAACTCGGGCTTAGATGTCTAATTACTAGCTGTCTCAGACTTGGAGATAAATCCAACTTTTATGTATTTTAGGTACACAGTTTGTCTCTTTATTCTGGTGACTAGTGAGCTTGCTTTAGGTCAATTATACTATATTGTGGCATTAAAATAAAATATACAGTCTCTATTACAGATGAGGAATGCAGTCTACATCTATTTAATCTCTCCATTGTTTTTGAGGATGGAATGAGCATGAGAAATTACAGCAGAGCAGCTGCTAAGATCCATAAAGACTTGAGTAACTGAGAAATGCAGTGCTGGCTTTAAACAGCACTCAGTACTGTGACTTATAATGGACCTGTCACAATGATTTATTGTGGTACAGCAGAATTTGGACATGACAGATGAAGTTCAGACCCATTACAGCAGCAACAGATGAGAACTTTCTGTCTGGAGGGGTGGGAAGGGAGGGATGGGTGGGCGGGTGGATGGATTGGTGGGTAACTGCTGCCTCCATTGTGATCATGAGGAACTGAAGTATAAAGACATGGCACTTGTCATATGGGTGTGTTTGGCTGCTGGGTCCCATTACTGCTCCTCTGTCGACTCAGTTTTTCCCAAACCAGGAGGGTGGAGCTTTTTTTTTGTTCAAGCATGAACACACATCTCTCAGACACCTTACAAAAGTCAAAGCAAACAGGCAAGCCCTTTGACCCCTTTAATCCAGCCACTTTTGGACCTGCTAGAAGCTCCTTTTCCTGAAGTACTTGCAAGTTTAACGCAAGAAGGGCTAACAATCAATCGCTCCCAGGGTTAAATCTGGTCCTCCCTCCAGGCTCAGGCAGAGCCAGCGCTCCCTGCGCGCCGCTGCCTCCTGGCGGTGGCACCGGGAATTGCGGGAAGCGTCACCCGCGCACAGGAAAGGCAAAAACCTGGTTTAAAAGCATCTTCCTTTTTGCATTCGGGGCCAGCTAGGACTGTAAAGAGTTCTTTTCACTAGGACATCGAGGTAAATTGAACTGCTATTTAAAAGGTCTGAATTAAGTACAAAAGTTTTGAGACTTGACTGATGTTTTCTAATGGCATGCAGGCCAGCAAAGCCTGAGGAGACTTTTAGGGGAGACATTTAAAACCCCCAAATTAATCAGTAAGATGTACCCAACTGTACACTATCCACAGCAATGAGCCTAATAGAGTCTGGAACACTAAATAACTCCTAGATACAAAGCAAATGGCTAAAATTGGATACAAAGTGCCAGAGCAGATTTAACATCGTGAATTTTTTGGCAACTAAAGTTTTCAGTGACAAAGAAAAACAGAAAATAGAAATCCCAAGCTAACTTTTAAATGGATTTTCTTTTGCATAGAAGTGGGACAAGAATCAAGTGGATAGATTTGAATTCCAAGATTTCAAGTGAAGAGAAACATAGGCAGTTTTATGGAGCTGTTTGAGGTCTAGAAAATCAAGAAGATAGCTTGGAATTACTGTGAGAGTAGGATTTTAATTAGGTGACACTTCAGATGACCCAGGAAAAAGATTTAGAAGAAGAAAACACAGAAAGATTGAAAGTGGCAGCACAATGCAGGGAAATATTTTAAACTATCAGTGTTAGGAATTACTAAGGAAATGGCAGAGGGTACAGATAGTAAATGTGTCTTAGACTCGGTTTGCAGTGACTGGTCAGAACAGGAAGTACTTTGAAGACAGCAGTCCAACACATCATTGATTTTTAGCTCTCAAAATGCCTGAAAAGCATCCAAACATGTTTGGGAGAAATTGAGAAATCCAACATTTCTACTGTGACTGTGGATGTTTGATCATAAAGACAGTTAGACAGGCAACAACAGGCAAATGTCATAACAGAAGGTTTCTGAAAGCAAAATGTCTTAGTAGTATTAGGCAGCAATAAGCAAAAGTATTGGAGAAGAATTGGGGAAAATAATTTAAAGTTCAAATTAGTCCAAGGATATTATTTTCTTACACTGGAGTGAAGTAAAATAGTGACAAATTAGGTTTTAACTTTCCCAAAATAAAGGGGGCTCAGTTTTATACAGTGGAACATAACAAAACACTACCCAAGGTGCAAGCTCACTTGTGGGTCAGGGTCAGTACCAGGCACCATGAATCGATGAGAATACTAAAATGTGTACTGCGAATTACTACAAGCTATTGTAAAAGTTGTGTCTTAGGCATAAACTGCAGGATCACATCGGTGTGACTGAAGCAGCAGAGCGGAGCAGCCTTCCTTCACCTACACACCACAGACAGTCCTGCACCACAGCAAGGTCAGCATCATGGGAGAACACATTGTTAATGTGGAGCCAAAATCACGTGGCTGATGTTGGCTTTAGCATGGACTCAGATATCTTACAAGCTCAACTGAGTGAATAAGCAAAATTAATTCATGCTCTGCCATGATAAACCATTAACAGCCACCAGGCACTCAGATTTTAAAATGCTTTTTTTGTAGAAACAGTACCAAGATAAATACTTGCGCTGGTTTGGGCTGAAGTGGAGTTAACTTTCTCACAGTGGCTAGTATGGGGCTATGTTTAGGATTTGTGCAGGGCACAGGGCTGATAATGCAGAGATGTTTTTTATTGCTGAGCAGAGCTTACACAGAGCCAAGGCTTTGCTGCTTTCCGTACTGCCACACTGGCAAGGAAGTTGGGGATGCATGGGAGATTGGGACACAGCTGGGACAGGTGACCCAAACTGACCAAAGGGATATTCCACACCATATGACATCATGCTCAGTATATAAGGTGGGAGGAAGAAGGAGGAAAGGGGCACATCTGGAGTGATGGGGTTTGTCTTCCCAAGGAACCGTTACGCGTGATGGGCCCTGCTCTCCTGGAGATGGCTGAACACCTTCTGTCTGGGGGAAGCAGTGAATTAATTCCTTGTTTTGCTTAGCTTGTGTGTGCAGCTTTTGCTTTCTCTATTAAAGTGTCTTTATCTCAGTCAATGAGTTTTTGTAGCTTTTACCCTTCCAATTCTCTCCCCTATCCCATGGGTGGGGAGTGTGTGAGTGGCTCTGTGGTTCTTGGCTGCTGCCTGGGGTTAAACCACAACAATACTTCAACTAGCTGTACATAAAACTCTCCAGAAGTATTCAAAGGCAGTCTTTTTACACACATCCAACATTGCTTGTTTCACAAAAAAAGGATATTCAAGGACAAGAAGGTTATTTAGTAATAACTTTAGAAACTAACCACGACCAGGATTAGAGATTTTATATGATACTCAACTTCTAGCAAAATCTGTAGGTAACACATGCTGACAAAATGACACTAGACTAACAGAAGGAACAAAAACCTTCCTAGGTTATCCAAGTTGTTTTGGAAAGCAAATACAACAACAATGTATGATGTATATCAGGCAATTATTTTCTGAGGCTCTTTATGAAGCCACTGGGATCTCTGCAGAGGCACTTCTATCAGAAGGCTGATGCCTAAAACTGTAATTTGGAGTAAAGAACCTCTTTTTCCTAAGGGAAAAAAATTCTAGAAGACACAGAATATCACAAGAGCAGAAACATTTGAACACTACAAAATGCTAAAGCGATTAAGAAGAATTGAAACAGATTTCTTCAATTTAAAGCATTTTATAAAATAAAGGATCAATCCTTCCTCCCAGGCAAGCTACAAAAGGCTAGGAGTCTTCAGTGATTACCTTGCTAAGCAAAGAAGTCTTCTTCTACTGAGCTACATATTAGCTCATGTATTAGCTATTATTAGCTATAATATAGCTACTTTGATACATATATGAACACAGCATCCTCACTGAGCAGTAGCTGGGGTGGGATTAAACAAACAAAAACCCACATGAACCATAAATGCACACAGAAGTTCTCAGGTGTTTGGGAATGGTGAGCGATTTAGAAGGGTCTTGGATGCTAAAATTTAACCAAGTTGGACAGTTTTCAGTACATAACAATAGCCTTAAATAGAATCACTTGGGTGATGTAGGAATTGAACATGGAATCAGCTACCTTACAAGTGTAATAGAAGAAGCAGAACTATTTGTTTTCATAAATACCTCACATAATATTTTTCATAACGACTATTTCATCAATACCTCAGTGTTTGAGCTCACCTGCCTTGCAGTTACTACACTTCTAAAGACCCTAATGTGTCCAGTTCTAGACTTCCCATTTTGACACAAGACTTGTGTGGATTCACTTTCCCAATGATGAGCCTCTGCCTGAGTCTAACCAGAGCACTCCATCACCTGTTCCATCCTGCCCTCGGACCAGCCCATTCCCTGATCAGGCATGCACAGCTGCCTTCACTCACTCTGTTTCATCAGTGCCATTCCACTGGTTTCCTGTCAACCAGCTGAAGTAGGAAATAACAGACAAATTCAGTTAAGCATATTTTGTTATAGCCAAACATCTCACTTTCTGGACTTTTTATTTCCAATAAAGATTAACAGCAAAGTGGTGATGAACAAGAAGTTGTCTTAATTATCGGTCTTTAGGAGGATTAGGATTCCTGCGTCTTCTGTGATACCTAGAAGAAATGAAGGCTGCAATGAATGCAAGCTGTGGATAGTCTGATTTTCCTGATATTTCTGCCCCCAGTGACAGATCTGAGGTTATACAAGTAAGCAAAACACAAGATACAGGAGCACAACCCATTGCCACTCATTAGATGTCATCTCTGTTGTTTGTGGAGTTACATAACACTACTCATTTCTATTGCTACATCTGCTACAAGCACGCAATAATTCAATCAGTTCTACAGCTGAATAGGCACAAAGGCTGCTCTATATTCTTAATCCTTTGTGTCAAGTTAATTTTATTACATGGTCAGCTTTCCTTTTGGCTAGAACGATTGCTATAGAACAAAGAGAGCTGATGTTGAAAGGAGTTGTGCAGACTGTACCTTAGAGAGTGTAATAATTTGCAGACAAACTAAAAACCAAATTCTTCGCAACCAAAAATGATCCATACTTTCCTCTTAATTATGCACCCTAAAACAAGATAAATCCTGTTTGATCCTCATTACAGGAACACCTCCCCTTTTGCCATAAAAGTCCTACTGTTCCATTCCTTATATCTATTCCCAAAGCACAATAATTGAAAAGCTTTCTGTGGACAACAACAAAATTTGTCTGTATCACATCTCCGTGGCTATCAGATTAGCAGCTACCAAAAGATGCAGTAACATGGACTGGAAGGGAGCTACACAAACCGGAATGCTGTTTGTTTCCATTACTATATTTGAATGTACACAGTTCCTCTTTAAGCTCAGTCATAAATTTGCACCTCTGCTCCTCTTCGATTTCTGAATACGAGGCACACCAGGGTGCACTTTTCACCATTTCAAATGAGAAACCTCTACTCCTCTACTCTACTCCTACTTATTAAGTCTGAGAATTACCCCATTGATATTTCTTTCTGAAGAGCTGTTAAGGAATAGACAGTGCATGTTTCCAAGCTGCATTTGGTTATGCCCATTGAGAGTATTTTACGTACTAGACTCTGTTACACAACTTTAATCATTCGAGCCAGTAGTTAACTGGTATGAGAAATGTCTACTCAGTGACACATCTTACAAAAAAAAGCAGCAGCAAAGGCTACCAAAGGGGCACCGTTAAGAATTTAACAGATCCTTCTATTTACACAACACTGCATTTAAAATTCTATGTGAGAGTCCACATGACTTATCCTAGGTTGAATCTGGTCATTAAATTCTTTCTGTATTTCCCTTTACCTCCAAAAGGAACAAACATTAAAAAGAAAATACTTACTGTCCCACGGGATACCAGCGATGTTTTGTTGTGTAAAACATTTTGCTGAGCTCTTCAATTGTAGGACCTTTACTGTTCTTCAGCTCTTTTTCACTCAATCTGGATTTTAAAACTTGGTCAAGGTTTTCTTCTTTATTATTCACTGGATCTGGGCGTGGAATGGGCTATAAAACAGCAGTGTATATATATGTCATTTTTCTCCTATTTTTTTTTGTTTTAGACAGTCAAAAAGCCAAGCTACATAAGAGCAAACTGTAATGCCTTGTATAGCTGAAACCAAAGGAATACAGAAGAATGCCTGTAACTGTACAGGCTGTTTATTGCCCCTGCCTGCCACAGCACTGTGGAGCAGATGCCTAGAAATATCTAATTAGCCCAGGTGCTGCAGCTCATTACCTACCCCTAAAATCAGCATTCTTGTCATCACTATTGCTAATCTCATTCTTACAATTCACTAGCTGAATCATAAGCTTCAGTTCTACTAACACAAAAGTATTCATATCATTCCTATTTAGAACTTGATTCACAGTGACAATCATCATTGCTAAAAAGCTGTTAGATGATGTGTACCTTTAAGGAGAACATCACTTCTAAATGTTTATGTATCTGCTTAGACCAAGATGCTTTTCAACTGGAAGCCTAACTACTAGCAGTATTACAAATATTTTTCCCTCTTTTAGTTTTTCACACTTGTTTTCCCTGAGACATGTGCAACTGATAAATTTTAAAACACCAATATGTAACTGGCAGGAAAAGAGTGCCAAATTGTTTTAAGTTTCACAGAGAGAAATTGCCACATTGGGTACATCAGCAACATAGCTACAATCTGCAGTATTTTACTAGCACATGAGATCTGAAAATTGAAACAAAAAGTGTATATTAGAAAAGTTTATCTAAATGTTAAACTACAATATTAGACTTACTTTTGTTAGCATAAAGAACACATTGAAAGTACTACTGATAGATAAAAGTCAATATTTAAAGCTTTTCTGTGGCTTTTATGAACTCAGAGTGCTGAATGGAATTTAAGGTTCAAGTTGAAAAGAGCATCAGCACCATTTCTTCATATCCTCTTGCCCAGACTGAGGCATCTGCACACAGTGGGATGTGTGAACTATAACCTGCATTCCAAACAGCCTCTCTGAGTATTACACTCATAGACAGACACTAGTTTTCTCTCAGTAATACACTCAAAAGTTTCCTTTGTAGTGCACAAGTATTTTAGTGCCTCATTTAATACTATTTGAGTGACTATATGCTGTGATACCTGAGCTTTTTTTGCTCTGCAACTTTCCCTCAATTCACCTAAGAGAAAGGTCCTTCCCATGGCAACGGCTATATTCATTATTCACTTACTTCACAGACGTGCTGATCACATACTAAAAAGTACCTCAGTATTTTAAATTTAAAAAGATGCCCTAAAGACTCAAATCTGTGGACAACTAAATGCCTTGACGAGTCAGAAATATAAATGTGTGCATTGTGTCATACTTCTGTATGCTCATAAGGAATCTCAAGCGAAGGGTGGTAGCAGACAATGGTCTTCAAATCTGATGTCACTGCAAGTTCCACTTTGCTATAAAAACAAAACAAACTCTTATCATTTTCAGAAATCTGAGCAGCCCAAGTCCCAACGAAAACTGGATGTGATCCTGCATTTATGAATCCTTTATAATCTTCTATAAAATAAGGGTCACAAATACTTGATCTGAACTTCCATTTCTTTGTTTCCCCCAGTCATCTTCATCTTTCTTTTTGGATGGAGAGGGAAAAAAGGGCTAAAAGAAAGTATTAAAAAATAGCTGGAAATATGGGTTGGAAAAAAAAATCGTTAACAATTTGGATAGTTGCATATAAAACTCTAACTAGATGGGGATAATGATCTCTAGGACAACAGGTGGATTCACCATCCCTGGAGGTTTTCAAGACTGGATGTGGCACTTAGTGCCATGGTCTAGTAACCATGGCAGGGTTGTACTTGATGATCTTGGAGGTCTTTTCCAACTTGATTAATTCTATGATTCTATGCCTTTGCAAGAAGTATGGCACCTATGATTGAAAAACAGGAAACAAAACTGTTTGGGGTTCCAACTTTTATATTTGGTAAACAATGATGAACAAGAAATCCCACTGAGAGTTTCCTTGTGGGAATATGACTTTTCTCACCTTCCTTCCCCTCTCCATGATACATTAAGCTTCCTAAACCCTTGCATGACATGGATTCTGTGTTTCTCACTATATTTGCATCCTCTTTTCCCATTTCTACACAAGTTTCTCATGCAGCAGCACAAAAATACCTGGACTTTATGTGAACAACAAGCATCAATGGAAATGACTACTCCAAGCTACTTTTGCTCTTCCACAAACAAAACTACAGAGGTACTGGGGTCAACAACATAGAATCATCAAGGCTGGAGGAGACCTCTAAGACCATCAAGTCTAACCACTATCCTGCTACTCTGCTCTAACCCCTAAATTATATTCACCATTGTCAGATCCAGATGCTTCTTAAACACTTCCAGTGACTCCACCAGCTCCATGGGTAGCATGTTTAGAATGAGTCCTGCATGATTTTTCATTACACTTATTTTTTGAAATATTACCTTCACAATCATTACTATCGTAAACAGCACTTTAGCTAAAATTACTACACATATCCAGTGCTGGCAGAAGACATACTTGATACCATTACGTGACAACTTCATGACAGAGAAAGTAGCCCTAGAATAAACATTACAAAAGAAAGGCCACACATAAAGCACATTTACATACCAATTGTAGTCTTCAGGGAGAATCGAGTATGTAGATTTATGACAAGCATGATACACAGCACCATCTGCAAAAAAACCAAACTTAAACAGAGAACACTGATGTAAAACCAAGCAGAGCTGTGCCCAATTTAGGAATGTTTACATTTTCAAATTTCATTCTGTTTCAAATCTTAATCAGGGACTATAATCATACTCAGATGAACAAAGCCCAAATACTGTCTAAAGAGACGTCAGCTGGACTTCACAGATTTCTAGTGCAATCAAAAAGATACAGTATCCAAGTAACTATGACCTATATGTATCTTTCCAGTTGTATTGTTTTCCTAAGAAAAATGACAGTGTGAACAAAATACCTACAGATTTCACCATTAGAGAGCATTCTCTATATACGCAATGAACATTACCTTATGACTCACAGGGAGGATCATAATTTCATTCATAGCAATATTTATTATAAAAATCTGGATGAGGGGCTCTGACTGGGTAAGCAGACAAATGTTTTCCTCATGAGGACATTCAACCAGTGGGACTGGGACTCAGGCAGGTCTGTGCAGTCTATGTCCTCGGAGATTTCAAAGACCCAGCAAGCCCTGAGTGACCTGATGTGACTGCAGAGCTGACCCTGCTTTGAGCAGGAGCTTGGATCACAGACCACCCAAAGGCCCTTTCCCATGGTTTGATTCCCATTTTTATAGAATCATAGAATCATTTAGGTTGGAAAAGACTTTTAAGATCATAGTGTCCAACTGCAAACCTAAAGTAAGGTGTTAAACAGTAACAGTCAGGAATCATACTATGGGCATCTTGCCTTCCACAACAGTGCATGCCTAAGACGGGCCTGGGAGGTGCCTGTAGCTGCTGTGAAATCCCTTGCTTTATTGCTGGAGCCTGACACAAATCCACATGGAAATTTCTGAGTCCAGTGAAGTTTCTTTTACCACTACACTTTAAGAACAGAATTATGATCACAAGAACCAAGTTTTCACACATTCTGAGCCTTCTGTTTTCAAGTAAGTCACAAAAAAGTTTTAACTTTTTGCTGACATTATTTGATGTAGACTACCTTTAGTTTTAATACAAATAGTGTTCTTCTTGGCTGTTCATAGTGGAGGGCGAGAGCATTCACTATGTCAAGACTGGGAAAGCTGAAAGAACCAAGAAGAAGCTTTTGTGTAGCTATTTTCATCTCAGAAATCTTTAAGATGTAGAATTCTTAAATTCAGAATTTCTGTTAGCACTTCCATGCTTCAGTTCTTTTAATTAAACCATTCTTAGTTATTAAGAAGCTAAGTTCTGGTAAACTCTTACTGCAAATAGTTTGTCTTTCTTCCTAAGATTTCTTTCCTGTCCTTGCCCACTAACCTCTAAAATGTAACATGCCCATTATATTTTCTCAATTAGTCTTTTCTACCACATTTACTATCTCTCCTACATCTTTTTACTGACATCTAAAACATGGGCAAAAAAATCTAAGGAACAATAGTGCCTATTATCACTTGTTCTCTGCTAAATAATGAGACTTTACTGTAGCCTTTCCTCAGCACTGTCTCTAAGTCTGAAAAAAAGAAATTCAAACCTTCAATGACAATCAGTGGTAAGAGGTGTGGTATTTACAAGCTGATTAATAAATTAGAGGACTATCATATGTGGACCATAAAGCTTGAAAACAAAAAAAACCCCAACAAATCCTTCAATTACTAGCAGAGAGCACAGACTATCAGACTTGATTCTGTTCAAATACAAATATCAATTCTATGTTTCCATTACTTTAAACAGTACAGGAAAGAGGTTCTCAAGGAACAGGTTTTAGTATAGGATTTGTACAATGCATCACTACTTACTCTGCAGTGAGGCCTGTTTACAGGCTGCTGCTGAACGCATCCACAAGAGGCTGGACCAGGCAGTTCTAAGTGACACTGCCATGCTGACAGCAGAGAGGAAACCACTCCTGGATAAGATGGAACTCAAAGAGACATCATATCCTTCTCCTCTGCAGAATGCCCTCTGAAAGAAACCGGTTTTGTAACTGTTCAGGATACAAAACATTGAATAACTTAAGGATAAATAAAGTGTGTGCAGTTTATTCTTCATTATTTGTCAACTGTCTAGAAGTCCTTAGTATTTAAGATACTGGTACCTGGTCTCCTTAATAGTCAAGAGTAGTACAAGATTTTATTTACCAAGAGGTAGTCTTTGAAGGTACATCATTAACTTTAAACAAAAAGCTTCCATGCTTGGGTCTTCTCACAGGTTTTTCTACTGGTACTCACCCACCTAAAATTTGCATCCTCCCTTTTGCACACTCCATAGAATTATTCCTGACACATGCTTTTCCTGTTCACAATGTAAATATCATCACCCAGTATAAAAACAGAAGTACTTAAAAATAACACTTGCTGTAGTTAAACAAATTGTCTAAATGCAGTGTATTTCATCCATCTCAAAAGCAAAATAAAACTAAGAAACATAGACTTTTAGGGGTTGGAATGGACCCTATAGATCATCTAGTCCCAACCCCTTGCCATGGGCAGAGACAGATCCTCACTAGATCAGGCTGCTCAAGGCTCATCCAACCTGGTCTTGAACACTGCCAGGGTTGGGGCAGCCACCACATCCCTGGACAACCTGTGCCAGTGTCTCACCACCCTCACAGCAAAAAACCTTTTCCTAACATCAATCAGAATACCTTAAATATTTCACGGAAGCAGAAAGACACACATAAACTTCTAATGTTTTACTGTCTACTGAAAAAAAAAAATAAAACTGCATCAGAGAGAACCTTAAGAACGCTTGAAAAAGCATCACTGGAGTCAGTTTCAAGACACACTCCTGAAAAATAAACAATGAAGAAACGAGACCTCTTTATGATTCTGCATCATTTTCTCTACCCGTGGCTAGTGCTGCTGAGGTAAGAGGACACTAACGCAGCATGTGCAGAGCCGCTCACACCTTGCCCTTGAAAGCTAACGGCCCAGGGTGCGAGGAGCGCGCCGTGCCCAGGGGTCAGGCAGCAGCGCTGGAGTTCAAACGGAGACATTGCCACGGCCGGGGCGGCACCGAGGGAACACGGGGGGAACGCGAAAGCGGCACGGGAGGGAGGGAAGGGAAGGGAAGGGA